GCTTATCTGGAACTTATTATGTGCCAGGCACTGTTTTAAGAGCTTTACAAATGAGAACTCATTTAATCTTCAGGACCACCCTGAGAAGTAGGTACTGTGATTACCTGCATTTTTAGGACAAGACGTAGAGAGGCAGGGTCCCTTGCCTGAGGTGGCACAAGTAGTGAGAGGTAGAGGGGGGTCTGAACCCAAACCGTCCGGCTGCAGTCATGCTCTCGCACTAGTCAACGTGTACTTGCTAGATGGAATGAGCTCAGGGGGTGAGTGGGCATCCTTGAGGTCACCAGTGGGTGAGGGCAGACCTGGGACCCAGCTACTCGGGTCAGGACAGTCTTGGGGACCTGAGGTCCTTGGGTCCCCACATGCCAGAGGGTGATGGGTGATTGCTCCAGGATGAGCCCCATTTCTTCTCAGGGGGTTGATGGTTTCTGGGGGTCCTGCTGATGATAAACCAAAGTGGTCTCCTGAGAAGCTTTCCCCACAGCCTGGAGAACCTTCTTTTGCTTACTTCAAGGTCATCCCAGATGGGGCGGCTTTAGCTGAAACTGCAGACGGGGTGAACACAGGGGAACGTGAGAGGAGGCAAGGGCGGGAAGGGCCTGGAGTGGCCAGAAGAGAGCTGGGGGTGGGGGTGCATGTGAGATGAAGTCCTGAGGGGTGCCCACCCACTCAAGGGGGAGATAAGGTGGCCAGGAAGTGGCTGAGGATGGTCTGGGTCAACGCCAGACACTTCTCATTGTGTGGGAATGGGGGCTTCCTGTCTCACTATTAACCTAAGGGTCACAGGCCAAGGGTGCAAGGGGCAGGAGGTAGAGGCTGGGGGAAAAGAGGGGAGGAGAATAGAGCTGGTTACGTGGGGTTGTTGCTTCCTTAACGGGAAAAGAGAGTCTAGAAATCAGCCTGGGGGAGCAGGACCCGAAGCAGGAATGGGGGAGACCAGCTGGGCTGAAGCCTGTGCAGCCAATGAGGGGGGTGATTCCAGGCAGAGAAACCTGAGGAGCTGGTCCCCCAGCCTGGAAGAGCAATTAGCAGGTATGCAAATTATTCGCCCTCTGTCCTTCAGTTCAGAACACTGGTCACTTGTTTGGCTGATAGCTCTGACCTCACCATGGAGCAAGCAGTGTCTTTTATTAAACTCAGTTTGTCTGGATTCATTAGATCAATGAAGCTCACTTGATCTCTGGTTTATCCCCAGGGGTCTCCGCTAACATGTGGGCAGTTGAGATTGTTGCAGAGGGGCCGGGTGGGTTCTCGGGCCTGGGGTGCCGGAGAGTGTCGTGTGTTCAAGGGGAGGGGCTCGTGTCCACTGACCCCGGAACAGACTGGAAGCTGCACCAGCGAGAACGCTCCTGAGGTCCAGGAAGAAGCCTTCCCTGGCAGCTGCCCTGGGATGGGCATGTGGGGGAGTTCCCAAGCACCGTTTAAGGAAATGCCTTGAGGTGTTTTCTAAATTTGATGTCATGGCCCTATTTCTTCAAAGGAAGTATGATCCTAAACTGCAACATAGAAGACAAATAAGAGGGAAACTGGGCCCTGGAAGGGCTCCCGCTGCCTTCCCGGGGCCCTGCGGGGCAGTGCCAGGCAGCCTCCTTTGGGAGCAGCCCTGGGCAGACCGAGGCCCAGTGTGGCCTGAGGCCCCCGTGCGGTTGGCTGCCTTTCCTGACCATTAATCGCTACTAAGTGTCATTACCGCTAATAAAATTAACCGACTTTATACTGGACTCCTGGGGCCATCAATCACAGGGTCTATTACACAAAATTAAAAAAACAAAAAAACAAAACATGAGCCCATGGATGGGGAAAGGGTGCCAAGCCTGGCTCCCAAGTGCAGCCTAAGGGCACACTGGGACCGTACAGCTGTCATAAGGTCATGGTCGGGGGCGGCAGGCACCCTTAGTTAGACAAACCTGCTCCAGGCCTTGACACTGCTCTCCAGGCAGGAATGTCTCAGGCAGGAGCACAGTCGAGCTCAGGAAGACTCATGGACCCAAGGCTGAAGAGGGTCCCACGTTCTCTGCCCCACTCCCACCTCTGCTTCTCTTGATGCTTTTGGTTCATTCTCTCTTTAGACCACTTTCTTTTTTATCACCTGAGTTACTGGCCCAGTCACCTAAAAGGAAAGAGAGGAAGCAACTGTATGCTCACTTAATTCGAATTTCAAATTCCCAGAGACAGGACTGATAGGCCCAGCTTGGGTCATGTGATCCTCAGTGGTCCAATCAGCAGGCTAGAGCAGCAAGGTCAAGTGGTATAAAATGATCTACAAGGACCACATGCTAACCATGTAGACAGAAGGCGGTCAACCCAGCAGGTGTCCCCATAGTAATTTAAAGGCCTGAGTAATAAGCATTCAAAATGGTAGATATATTATATCATATCATATCATACCATATCGTAACACACAATATAGCTATGATGATGTAACAATAGTTATTATTCTTTTTAAAAAAGATTTCATTTATTTATTTTTAGAGAGGGGAAGGGAGGGAGAAAGAGAGGAAGAGAAACATCAATGTGTGGTTTCCACGTGCACACCCCCTACTGGAGACCCGGCCCACAACCCAGGCATGTGCCCTGACTGGGAATCAAACTGATGGCAACCCTTTGGTTAGCAGTCCAGTGCTCAATCCACTGAGCCACACCAGCCAGGACAATAGCTATTATTCTTGTGAGGCTCAGTTGGTTGGGCATTGTCCCACAAAGCAAAAAGTCACCGGTTCAATTCCTGGTCAGGGCACATGCCTGTTTTGCAGGCCAGGTCCCCGGTTGGGGCACATGCAAGAGGCAACTGATCAATGTTTCTCTCCCTCTCTTTCTCTCTACCTTCCCCTCTCTAAATAAATAAATAAAATCTTTTTTTTTAAGTGGCATTTGAGACAGGTCTTCAAGGGTGTGTGGCCCTACTGGTCAAAATTCCCATCACTCCTTGCTTGTCCTTTCACCTGTCAATCAGCTGCTACAAGGAAGGTCCCAATTTCTGAAACACAGGAAATGTGTCAGCAAAAACCGACCCTCACACCAGCCCCTGAAGGGGGAGGACATTTGAAGGGCCACTCGGCAGCTGCCCCTTTGCTCCCTGCAGCTCTCGAGTGGCCCTCCACACTGGGAGGTAGGCAGGGTGGGGCCCCCTCAACTGGACTTGACATTAGGCTCTGCTGTGGACCTGCCAAGGGTCAAGCTCTAAGGGTTTCCTGCCAGGCCGCAGGGAGGGGTTTGGGTGTAGACCTGGTGGACTGGAAATTTACCCATTTGCCCCCAGATTAATGATTAACGGGTCCCTGCCCTCACCCTGTCTGGGAGGGGAACCCAGGGCCAGGCCGGGCCAAGAGGGGCCTGATAGCATCTGTCTGTGCTCAGAGGTTTCAGAGATACGCTCCATACTGGGTTGGCTACACCTGATGGGTTTGGAATCCACGGTCACTTTCTGGGGGGCACCTGGGACCTGGCCAGGACCCATACTCACCCAGACAGGGAGGGTGTGGCATCTAGCCGGATGTCCTGGCTGGAGCAGGTGGCTCCAAACAGGAGAACTGTGCCCTTGTGTCCGTGGGACACAGGCCTTTCTGACCCCTCAGGGCTTGGCCAGGGCTTGCCGGTGGCACATGAGCAGCAATGACAAGTGCCACATTTAAGCAAGAGCTTTAAGAGCCATTTTGTGGCTCTATCTTTGCTCTTTTACCTTGGCCACGAGGCCAGAATCTTCCAGAAAGGAGCTGCTTCCACCCACACGGAGGGCCACCAGGGTGCATGACAGTGAAGCTCCTGAACTCGTAGAACCGTTTCACTGAGAGCTTCTGGGGAGAGGCCAGGCGAGCTCTGATTCTAGCCCCCATCTGCTGCTGCTGAGTCCACCGGGTGACTCAGGCCAGTGGCCGCCTCTTCCTAAAACCCTTGCTTCCTTGTCTGGACAAAGGGAAGACTCTGCCTCAGTTAGAGTAAAGCGTCTTGCAAGAGAAAGGAACTTTGAGAAACCCAGCCAGCAGGAAAGTGAACAAACATGTCCCAGGCACGGTGGCTGGTGCAGTCCTCCCAGCGGCCCCAGGAGGTAGTGCGGACCACTGTTTCCACTCACCAGGGGAGAAAACCAAGGCTTCAAGGGCATACAGCTAGGAAGTCAGGATGAGAATCCGGCAGCTGATTCCAGAACCCATGAACTTCGGGTATGGTAGCACAAGCCATCTGGGGCTCACGGCCTGATGGAAATTCAGCTCCTTCACCTTCATTCACCCACCTGTCAGTCTGTCCATCCACCCACCTACCCACCCTTCTTTCCTTCCCTCCTTCCTTCCATCCATCCATCCTTCCACCCCTGTGGGTATTCCCCAGACATCTCTGTGTAACAGGCCCTGAGTGGCCAGGTGGTTGAAGGTCTATCTGGGAATTACGGAAATCAGTTAGGCCGGCGTGGGATTCCTCGGGCAGTGACATGAGAAGGGAGAGCGGGCCACCAGGGAGGGGGCTGGGTGTCTGCTCACCGTCCACAGCATCTGCTCTGCCTGCCCCTCTCAGGAACATGGCTTCCCCTCCTGGCAGCCCCCAATGCTACACAAAGTATTTCCCAAACTTCCCTGATCACTGGAAGCTGCCCGGGTTTGTGTTAAATATACAGATTACCCAGGCCTGGTTCCGGACCCACAGAAGCAGAATTGCCACGTGGATCCTGGGAATCTGTATTTTTAATAAGCATTCCGGATGATTGTTGTGACCGGGCAAATGTGGTTAAGAGGGTGGGTGAAAAGAGCAGAGACTTCGGCATCTGGAAGATGGGCTTGGGGTCCTGCACTGGCCCTTGTATGAGCACCTTTGCTTCCTGCTCTACAAAATGGGAACATAACTCCGTGGGCCTGGCCTCCCCCCAGAAATAATGAAGCCCCCCCCAGAAGGCCCCCTTCCCCTCACCTGCCCACATCCTCGGGGATTGTCATCCTTCTTTTTGTTACCCTCGCTGCCCTGTTACGACCCCTAAGGGTCACAGGTCTCCCTTCTCTTGCCCTCTCCAGCCTGACCGGGCGGGAGGTCCTGACGCCCTTCCCAGGGCTGGGCACTGCGGCGGCCCCAGCACAGGGCGGGGCCCACCTGAAGCAGTGTGACCTGCTGAAGCTGTCCCGCCGGCAGAAGCAGCTCTGTCGGCGGGAGCCCGGCCTGGCGGAGACCCTGCAGGACGCTGCCCACCTCAGCCTGCTCGAGTGCCAGTTCCAGTTCCGGCACGAGCGCTGGAATTGCAGCCTGGAGGGGAGGACAGGCCTGCTCAAGAGAGGTAGGGGGAGGGCCGGGGGAGGGCTGGAGGGAGGGGAGAGTTGGGAGAGAGGAGGGCTGGGGGTTGTCTGTGCTTCCCATACCCCTGGCCCCTGCCCTCTGGCCATGCTGCCCTTGTGAACCCAGCACAGTCCTGAGTGAGAAGAGTCCTGGGAGGTAATGAGGCCCAGCCTTCCGCTCTTTTGGGTGGGTGGGTGGGGGCAAAGGAGCAAGGAGGACACAGGAGGAGGCACCGCCTACCCTGGAGAGTCCACAGATGAGGTGAGTGGCCCCCAGTCCCATCCCTGAGTCTGCTCTGCATACACACACACCCAAACTAGGTGCAAGAACATACAAGGGTGGAAGGCAGTTAATAGCTGGCCAAATACCATGAGACAGGCCGAATTCATTTATTTACTCATTCATTCCCCTGTTTCTTTGTTCACTACATCTGGTCTTACCCCCCCCCCCCGCCATCCCCCCCCCCCCCGGTCCCCCACATCTCTCCATGTCTCCACTGGCCATCTGTTCACTCAGTACCTGGTGAGGCTCACAGTGAGCCAGGCACTGTGCTGGACGCTGGAGGCACAGGGCTGGTCAGGACCCCAGCAACCCTCAGAAAGCATGGAGCCTAAGGGGGAAAACAGGTCATCATGTGACTCCATCACCCAGGGGCAGGGGCTATAACAGGGCTTTTACGAAAAGGCAGCCATGGCTGCCTTTGGCTGGCCCCCTGTGGGCCAGCTGGTCCTCAAGGCTGGGGCGAGGCTGGGGCGGGCCTGGGCTGAGCCTGGGCTGAGCCTGGGCCAGAGCCGATCCCACCCCCGGTGTCACCAGCACCCCAGTACGCTGGAGAGCAGGCAGGAGGTGGCGGGCTCCTGAGGGAGGCCAGCCTTGGAGCACACCCTAGCAGTGCAAGAGTCACAGTGGTCCCAGAAGTGGGTGGATGGTCAGTCTGGCAAGAGACCCAAAGTCACTCTGTCGTTGGGTGCTCTCCACAGTAGGCAGCAGAGAATGACATCTGAAGATTATCATGAAACACGGGGGGCCCACAGGGCGTATTTCAGGGGATCTGGGGCTTCCGAAGTGATTCGGTCCACCTCGTTCACGCATGGACTTGGAGGCAGTACCAGTGGTTTGGCGCCAGCTTCGTGCCTCACCAGGTGCCTAAGTCACCTCTGTTTGCATCTCAGCATCTCATGGGTTCCCAACCTGCCACCTGGAGAATCTGGGCATATGCTCTGCAGTGAATTAAAGTCTCACTGTAAACAGCAATTTGCAGCCTGCGTTTAAGGGGCAGGTGGCAGGGGAGTGGCCCCGAGCTGCGTCCTCAGGTTCACAAACCCCTCATCGTGCTCACCTGGGCAGCCTGTAAGCCCACTCTCCTCCCCCCCAACCCCGAATCTCCCCGGTGCCTGGCCCAGGTTTCAAGGAGACGGCCTTCCTGTACTCGGTGTCCTCGGCAGCCCTCACCCACACACTGGCCCGGGCCTGCAGCGCCGGGCGCATGGAACGCTGCACCTGCGACGACTCTCCAGGCCTGGAAAGCCGGCAGGCCTGGCAGTGGGGCGTGTGTGGCGACAACCTCAAGTACAGCACCAAGTTTCTGAGCAACTTCCTGGGGCCCAAGAGAGGAAGCAAAGACCTGCGGGCACGGGCAGATGCCCACAATACCCATGTGGGCATCAAGGTGAGCTGTTCCTGAGTGGCCCAAGGCCCTTCCAGCCAGGAGGCTGGAGGAGGTCCTTGGGGAGGTCCTAGGTCTGTAGGAGGTCCTCCCATGCCCTGCTCCCCAGCACACACACACAGCTATCCCAGGATGAACCCCATTCCCTCAACCAACATTCCCTGGGCATCTGCTCTAGGCCATGACCGGGAAGCAGGGAAGGGTCCTGGGTGTCACCGGCGCTGGGCAGCAGGCAGAAGTCAGGCTTGGACCAGGCCATGCGGGGGAGGAACATGTTTGGAGAGGGGTCTCCATTCCAAGGGCTAGCCTTCCTGGAGGTCCCAGAAGCCAACGTAGTTTGAAAACTTACAAATGGGAAGAGGAGGTGGCCCAGAGAAGGGAAGGGAGTTAGCTGAGGTCACAGAGCAGAGAGAGGATGGGGGTAAAAAGTATCCAGGTCTGTCGGATGAGGAGGGTGGGACAGGCTGGAGCTCAGATCTTTAGGAAACCGAGTTCTGTGTTCTGTGCCCGCAGCACTGAGCTGGTGTGAACCACAGCTGCTGTATTCACACGTGCAAGTTGTCTGCTGCCCAAGAACTCTGGCCATGGGAAGGGGCTGGGGCTACAAGCCTGCCCACACTGCTCTCCCGGAAGCATGTGTGCTGGCATCGGACTGCCTCTGCCCAGCGGAAGAGAAGCCTTGGGCTAGCTTACCCAAAGGTGCCACATGGCTAGCCATCCAGTCTGCTGGCCACTTCCCTGCCAGGGTTGGCACCCTAGGGGCAGGCTCAGGCAGTGGTCCCTGGGCCTCTGACCACACCTCCATTCTGCCTCTCCTCACAGGCTGTGAAGAGTGGTCTCAGGACCACTTGTAAGTGCCATGGCGTGTCGGGCTCCTGTGCCGTGCGCACCTGCTGGAAGCAGCTCTCCCCATTCCGAGAGACGGGCCAGATGCTGAAGCTGCGCTATGACTCAGCTGTCAAGGTGTCCAGTGCCACCAACGAGGCCTTGGGCCGCCTGGAGCTGTGGGCACCTGCTAGGCCAGGGAGCACGACCAAGGGCCTGGCCCCCCGGCCCGGGGACCTGGTCTACATGGAGGACTCACCCAGCTTCTGCCGGCCCAGCAAGTACTCCCCTGGCACAGCAGGCCGAGTGTGCTCCCGGGAAGCCAGCTGCAGCAGCCTGTGCTGCGGGCGGGGCTACGACACCCAGAGCCGCCTGGTGGCCTTCTCCTGCCACTGCCAGGTGCAGTGGTGCTGCTACGTGGAGTGCCAGCAGTGCGTGCAGGAGGAGCTCGTGTACACCTGTAAGCACTAGGTCTGTTGCCCAATGTGCCAGCGGGGCACTGCCAGGACCCCCCTAGGTGCCCGGCACCTTGAAGCCACCCAGCTGTTCAGCTGGCCCCTCCGGGCAGGTACACCTGCATGCATGCGCTCGTCGATGTATGTGCCAGAGCACGCACACTCCTCTCTCCATCGGGCCAGCTGTCTTCCCTTCCCTCGGCTCTCAGAATGAGAGATGCAGGCCCTACCCCTGAAGCCAGGGTCTCCAGCCTTTTTGAGGACTTGGAAGAGGAAGGCAGAATGGGAAAGATGTGGAAGGAAATAAGGAAGACCAGGAAGAGGGCAAAACTGAGGTTTAGAGGGGAGAGGGGGAATCTCCCACCATCTCAGTTCCTGGGATAAGTGGTCTTGAGCCGGAAAGAGGCAGGAAGTTGAGCTTCTGGGTCAAGCAGGCACAGGGAGGCAGTGTCAGCTGGAAGCCGAGGCTGGAGTCTGGCCGGGATGGCACGGTCCCTCCCGTTGGCCCTGCTCAGGTCGCAGTGAGCCTGGGGACCACACACCATCACCACCTGAATGGCTTTGCTGTACTAGAGATGAGGGGAAAGGCCAGGTGATAGGAGCTGTTGGTTTGGAGGAAAAAAAAGCTTTTTGGGCATGAGTGGACCCAAGTCAGATACATGCCCCGAACTCTGTGTCCTTGACTTTGGTTTTAAAATATGCCCACGCTGAGGCCTCATTCTCGTCCTGAGAGCTGTAATCCACACCCACCCAGCCCTGCTCAGACCACCAGCAGATGTGAGACCAATAGGGAGAGCCAGCCCCCAGGATGGGGCTCCAGGATGGGGCTCAGACGGGGCACCGAGGTGGCACAGGGACACCGAGGACCCGTTCTGTTTTCCCTGGGACATGGAACCTTTAGTCCCAGCCCAGGAGAGGGTCACCACCCCCTGGCGCCAGGCAAGGATGTGGCAAGCTCAGTTTCCCGACCTCCCTTGGAGCCCGCTCTGGCCAACCGCCCAGTGGCTGGGGTTCCCTCCGTGCTGTGAGGCTCCCACGTGGTTGGCACTTGTGATGCAGGAGAGTTGGCATATGCCTTCCGATTCTGGTCACACTTCTGCTCTTACAGCTGCTCGTCTAATTAAGGTTTCCCTGGCTAAGTTTTCATGTACAGGGACATGAAAAGTCTTTGCTACGCCTGGTTTCTTGGGGGCCCCTTAATTTGCTATTGGGCCCACACTCTGGTTCTACCTGAGGAACAGAAGTGACTTTGGTAGTTTCCTCCAATCCTGTGGACATTTTCAGTGCTACCTATCAGGCCCTGTGTGGGGGCAGGAGAGAGAGGCCGATACACGCACGCCCGCGCCCGCACACCCCTTGGACCTGCCAGGCTGAGGGTTCCCGTTCAGCAGCACACAGCCCTCTGGTTCAGGACCAAGGCCTTGCAGGGATCACTTTTCTGGAGGCTGTGTGCTTCCCCAGAGCAGGGCTCAATGCCAGCTGGGAGGAAGTGACCTCCTCTGGGATGCCCTTGGCCACTCTGCTGTCCCTGCCACACCCTCTGTCAGCTTCCTTTCTCCCTGAACTCAGAGTTGCTGACCCTCGGCTGAAACAGGAAACATCAGAATCAGCTGAATGCTCCAAAACTGTCCACACAAGCCCCAGGAAGAAGCCCTGGGGGCCCCCTGAGACCCGCAAGGGTGAGAAGAAGCTACCCTGTCCTCAGTGGACCGGGGCATCCTTCAGGATTCTGGAAGGATCTTTGGCTGCGGTGGCTCTGATGAGACCCCTTTCTGGGTTGACTGCTGACCCAAGCGGCTGGCCCACATCTTGGCAGAAAGAGCGAAACGGAGACAGGACTGGTTTGCTCGTTTCTTTCCCCCACTCATCGCATGGAGACGTCCTCTCACTTGGCCAATTCATCCTGCTCCTCTGAGACCCAACACAGCCTCCACCCTGGCGCAGCCCGAGATTCAGAAAGAGGGGTCCTGACCCACCAACACGCCATCTGCGCCCCAGCTCCACGGCCGGCAGTGTCAGGGCTGCAGGAGGATAAAGGGCCGACTCCCAGGGGCCAACACCATGGCTGGCCACCGACGCTCACAACCTAGGCCGAGGGCACGGGTGCAGGCTCTGAGGGCCGCTCGGCCTATAGGGTCATCCCTCTCCGGCCCTCTCCTCTCTTCTCCGCCCTTGCTCCCTCTCTTCCTCTTCCAGTTGCCCCCAAAGTTCCACCTCAGCCCTGCTGGGACCTGGGGACCAGTTACCACTGACCTCTCATTCTGTATAGCTTTAAGGGAAGCACTCACAGGGTATTTGTTGTCTACCTCACTTAAAGAGAATAATTTATATAGCTAAGATATATGAGAAAATATTTATGTTATTTATATAGTTTCTGTATTCTATGGGCAGCACCTGCGGCACCCCTCCCCCACACCCCACCCTTCTGCGTGAGCCCTAGGGGCCTTCATCCCCACCCTCCTTGTGAAACCTGTAACTTCCCTGCTCTCCCAGGCCCAGGCCCCCTTTCTCCCTCTGGCAGAACTGTCTTGCTCATAATAATGACAATGACAACAAGGATGACCACGCCTTGCCTTTGTAAAGCACTTTCACCCCTTTACTCTCCCTTGCTTTCCCCACTATCCCTGCCAGTGGGTGGGGCCACACGCTGGGCCCGTTTCACAGCTGTGGCCCAGGGACCCAGGGCTGTGCTCAAGGTCACACAGAAGAGGTCCCTTCAGCGACTATTTCCTAGGCTTCTCCACAGGCCAGGCACTAAGGGAGCTGACCTAGCCTGAGCCCAGGAGCCCCAAAGCCTGGATACGTCCCAAGCCCAAGGACCCAAGGAAGTGGCTGCTTCCCTGACCATGTGTAACACGGGCCACCTGGGTCAGGACAGCACTTCGACATTTTTCTAAGTGGAGTCCTGTGTCCCACGAGCTAGGACTGCCCGAGGAGTCTAGAGAGGCTGGGACACCATGAAGGCCACTCCAGGGGCTCCACCACCGGCCCCCCTCCTTCCGCCTAGGCTGCCCGAGCTGGTGGGTGACATCACAGGGCTCCTCCCAGCCACTGAGGGGCTTGTTTGCTCTTATGTATGTTTTTCTTTTTAAAATGGATTATTTGCCATTGGCTTTCTGCCTTTTCTTGTAAAATCAGCTGCATTGGCAGAGTGGACTTGCATCCCCACCTGGCCACAGTCTGCTAGAAGGGGGGCCCCAAGAGACAGGAGGCATGGGCTCCCCTATTTGCCAAGTACCACCCACGTCCACCCACATGGCTCTGGATCATCCTTGTGGCTCCCGTGGGCACGTCATGTGCATCCCCTGGTGCAGATAAACCCGGCCTCCCCGGTGTCCTCTACTGCCCGGAAGACAGTTGGACAGACCGATGCCAACCCTGAAGACTTTCTTGCTTTCCAGAGTTTTCTTTCTCAACAGCCATGAACTTCAAATGCTTTTGATCTTAGTGCATTTGAGGAGTACAATGGGAACTATCATACACTGAGTACCTGTTCTGTCCATCCATGCTATCGACAATTGTTTAGGGAGCTCCTACTGAGCGCCAGGCACCACCTGTGGGGCTGGGGTGCAGCGGTGAGCAGCGACCATGTCCCTGCCTCTTGGGGCTGAGGCTCTAGTGGGGGAGAGAGACAATAAACCAATAAACGACATGTCAGCTGTCTGTGCCCTTTTTGTTTCAATTGGTTGTGACCACCTGACCCACTGGAAACAACCTGAAGGTTAAGGAGATGGCGTCGTGAGGTGGGAAGGCTCCCGGCAGCACTAGCCATCACTGGTGTCAGGACTGGAGCACAGAGCTGCTGGCCTCCAAAGCATGTGTTCCCTCCTCTCTCACTGCCGCCTCCCCTCAGATGTGGGTATTTCAGGGGTGGGTCACCCCCTTTTATGGATTCTGGGTAAACTGAGGCCTAGAGGAAGGAAGTAACCCCTCTGAGGTTATGTGCCAAGTCAGACCATGCTAGAGCCTGGGTCCCCTCCCACAGAGGATAAGTATTTCCAGAGTCCTCATTTCACGGCCAGCAGTGCAGATTAGGGTGGGGGCAAGATGAAGCAAAGCCAACACCTCCAGGACTTAAGATCCATTAGGGGAAATGAGAGGCATGGGCATGCAATGGTTTGGGTCACTTACATGGCCGCCCAAGAGTCCCTCCTCTGGCCACACTGCCTTCCCGGCATGCTTTGGGAAATGCATGTCCTCAACCAGCCACACTCCTGAGGGTCTGATGGGGCAGGAGGCCCCCTTCTGAGCACAGGGAAGCAGAGAGGGCTTGTCCCTGCCCTGCTCCCAGCCCCCCCAGCCCTGCTGGGGTCCACGAGGGTCCCAGGAAGGGAGGCAGAGGGAGGTCCACAGTCCAACCCTGAGGGCGCCGACGGTTCCACCTGCATTCCTGTCCTAATGTGCTCTTCCTGCCAGCATCCCGGCCTGCGGCTGGGACGGAGCGCCCACACTCACTGCAGGCTCCGCGGTGCCAAGGGCTTTCTCGCTTGTCTGCTCACTTGAGCCTCCCAAGGAGGGCATCCTTCTTCCCTTTTTACGGACAGGGAAACTGAGGCACAAAATGGTTAAGTGACCCATTGAAGGCCTCGTAGCTAGGAAGTCAACCCAGGTCTTTGCCTCCAAATCCATGTTCTTTGCCTCCGATGTTACCCTCAGCCTGCCCCACCCCCGCCGAGCCTCTCCCTGCTCCTGTGTAACCGGGAACAAACCCTCTGGCCTCTGCACCCTTAGCAGCTCAGGGCTCCACTCTTCCTGCAAATCAGTGCTTTCCGAGATGATCACTAGGTGGGTACTTTACCCATGGCGCACCCCCCTTAAAAACATTTAACCACATTTGCTCACTCTGTGTGTGTGTGTGTAGTTATTTTAATGAGCCATTTGTGAGAGCATTGCAGACTCTGAGACTCTTAAATATTTTCTCATATATCTCCTAAGAACAAGAATTCTCCAGCCCTGGCTGGTGCGGCTCAGTGGATGGAGTGCCAGCCTGCAAACCAAGGGGTCGTTCATTTGATTCCCAATCAGGGCACATGCCTGGGTTGTGGGCCAGGTCCCCAGATGGGGGCGTGTGAGAGGCAGCTGATCGATGTTCCTCTCACACATTGATGTTTCTCTCCTTCCCTTCCTCTCTCTCTAAAATAAGTAAGTAAGTAAGTAAGTAAGTAAAACCTTAAAAAAAAAAATTCTCCAAAAGAACCACAAGGCCATCAGCACATCCAAGAAATCTGACACTGACTCAATACTACCTACTGCACAGTCCACGGCGAGACTTCCCCAATTGTCCCTCAAAATGTCCTTTATAAGTTTTTCCTGATTCAGGATCCACCCAAGAATAGGGCAGTGACTGCATTGTGTTGTCTTGTCTCTCCAGCCCCCTGTAGCCACGAAGAGTCCCCCTGCCTTCTGTGCTCTCATGACATTGACGTTTGAATCATTCGGACCAGGTGTCTTGCAGAATGGTTCTCAGTGGGGAGTTGTCTGATTGGCTCCTTATGAGTGGAGTCCGGTTCCCGTTAGATTAGGCCTCGGCAGGCCGTCTACTTGGGTGCCGTGTGTCCTCCGTGCATGCTGTCAAGAGCCACGGGATGTCAGTTCATCAGCCTTACCGGGGATGCTGGATTTCATCACCTGGTTAATGTGGTTTCCGCCAGACGTCTCCGACATGAAGTTGCCTTTCTCCCTTTGTGATACGTGTGATTGATGACTCATCCATGGGGCGATGCTCCGAGACTGTGGGAATATCCTGTGGCCCAACATCTTACCCAATAGTTTCAGCCTCCATTGGGAATCCTTGCCCAATCCATTGCAAGTGGTGATTCCCTGATTCCGTCGTTCCTATTCTTATTTGGCCATAAAGAAGAGATTTCCCTTCTCCCTTACCCCCACGGCTTTCCTTTTCATCTTCACAATTGCACTGCAGGATAAGAGTTCTTACTCCATTTCACAGATGGGGAAACAGGCTCGGGAGCTGGAATCATTTGCCGAGTGAGTGGCAGAGCTGAGTCCCAAGCTCGGGCCTTCCTCATGCCCGAGCTCACACCCACTGCCCTCCGGAATCTTCTCAAACCCGGGGTTTCTCCTCTGGTGACTTAGCTCTGAGCAGGAACTGTGAAGCAGAGCCATCTTCCAGCAGAACTGCTGCAGCGGTTGTGGGAGACGTTTAGACCAGCGGCGAGGGCGAGGGGAAGGCGATGCCTCTCTTCAAATCCTTAGGCGGCCTTGCTGCTGTCTCCCTGGACCACCTCCGTCCAACCCTGGAGGCTCAGCAGGGCCTCAGCCTCCCTCTTCCCTACCTCTGACGATTCCCTATCCCCACCGGCCCTGCTCTGGCCCTTGCTGGATTACCAGCTCTGCAGAGCGTGACTGCGGAGGCCCCAAGCCCTGGAGCTCCTGAGATGGGCCCAAGGTCAATTATTCTGCCTCTGCCAACACCTAGAGACACATGGAATGATCCCATGTGTCCAGTTTCCACGGGGGAAACATGGTCACCGTCTAGGTATCCAGCACAGCCTGCCAAGCCCCGGTCCAGAAGGAAGTCTGTCAAAGACCAGAGGGATGACCTGTGATCGGTGTGGGGACATTCTGGAGAGAGAGCCACGGGGCAGGGTCCTCTGCTTACCCCCCACCCTTTCCTGTCACTTCTCACGTCTCTCACCTGGTGTGCCTTCTTGTAACCGATCACTCAGCAAACTAAGTGCCCACCGAGAGTGTGCCAGGCATGTGCCAGAGTGCCGTGGTGACAAGACGTAGGCTGGGCCTTCAGGGAAGTCACAGACGAGGAAAAGGGATCACTAGGTGATGAGCCCTGTGAGGGGCACCTCACTGCACAGGAACTCTGGTGTCATTTCCCCCGATCACCTCGGTTAACCACTGTGACCACCCTAGGGTTATGTAAAACCACGAACACAGTTTATAGGTAAGAAAACTGAAGCTCAGAGAGGTTCCCTTGGCATGCCCAAGGTCCCACAATAAGCAACAGGCCCCAAGGTCCCACAATAAGCAACAGGGCTCGCTGGAAATGGAACAGCCCCTTCGTGCCTCTGGCCCCACCGTGGAGAGCATGGTTTGTGCAAAGGCCTGAGGATCATGGAGGAGGCGGCATCAGGAATGGCAAGGATTCAGTGTGGCTGGTGGTGCTTCCTCCCTTTCACTCTGTCCTCTTCCTTCTTGCTTTCCTCTCCCTCCCTCTCCCTTTCTCTCCTCCCTGCATACCTGCAGTGCTGAAGCTGACAGGCCCTTGGGTTCTTATCCCCTTTACTCCCATCTCTCCTTGAGTCCCCGGGGCCTGTGGGGCCCACATTCCTCCCTGGCTCTCTCTCTCTCGAGCCCATTAGTGTGTTTACGTGCTGAAGCCCTGAAGGAGTCCCCGACTCTCCCTGCCCCGCCTCCACCACAGAGAGTGGACAGTTGAGAGGTGGAAACTGGTCAGAGCCGCAGGAGAACCTGACCCAGCATCCGAATTCCTGCCCCCCTGTCCAAACAAGTCCAGGGCGGCCACCAGTAGCCCCCCGGGTGCCTGCACCCCTTCCCGCACAGCCCCTCCTGTGGCTGACAGGCCCTAATCTCAGCTGTCTTCATGCAGCCAGCCCTCCGAGCCTGGGGTCACCTGATGCCGACACATTTTAATTCAGAAGCTGATTTCTGCTTGTTGGCAACATGTCATTTCTGAAATTGCTTTCTCTGCCCAGAGGCAGGAGATGTCAGAGCCGTGCAGGTGTTACAGCAGGGCCGCCCCCCCTCTCCAAGTTCAGGAAGGATTAAGGGGCTTGGGGGGGGGCACACATTAGATCCTCAAGCTCAGCTTCTCATGTTTCCGCAAGGGCCGGGGGCCAGGGATGGGGGATGCTGGGAAGAGCCTCAGCTTTCCTCCCCTGACCAAAGACAGAGGCCCAGAGTAGGGTAAATGGTAAATGAAGTTGCTGCTGCTCCCAGTCCTGACGATCTCCACGGTATGTTGTTTGGAGAGCATCCTATACAGGTGCCAGGCGCCCCGCAAAGCACCTCTCACGTATCACTGTATTTGACTCTCCTGACAACCCTCGCAGCTGGTATCACCCCTATTTTATAGCTGAAAATAGAGGCTCAGAGAGGTTAGATCACTTATCTGAGGTCACATAGCAAGTATGTGGCAGAACCAGGACTCAAAGCCATGAGAGCAGCAGCCAGACTGGGATTTGAAGGTTCCGGGAGAGATGGGCCACGGAGCTGGGGAGGACTTGGGGGCTGGCTTTGCCTTTGCTGGTTTCATGGCTTGGCCTGAATATCCTCAGCGACGTTGGCCCACTCCCCTAACCTCCCCACTCCTGCAACCCATCAAATTGTTATTTGCTCCTTTTACATTTTCTTAGCATTTTGCATATACCTTGATCAGCAATTATCTCAATGTTGCCGTCTTCATTGAATAGATGAGTGAAAAGACAAATGAATGAATGAATTTCTGAATCTTTCTCTCCATACTGTTTGCCCATCTGCATTGCCCTGCCCAGCGTGTCCTACCCGAGCACGCTTCCCGTGTCAGCAAGCACCATGTCCCCTCCGGACACGTTGGCTCCGCAGGGTGACTGGCCGAGCACCCTGCCCTTTTCTCTCCTCCCTCTCCTTCCCCTCACTCCCTCTTGCCTCCTCTTCCCAACTCCCAGAGT